TCACACGGTAGTTCTATTTGTGATTTTTTTGAGAAATCTCAAAACTGATTTCCTCAATGGCTGTATTAATTTGTATATCTGCTAACAGTGACTAGGGTCCTTTCTCTCCACCTCTCCTCCCACATTTTTGTCAGATTTGTTGATGACAGCCACTCTCACTGGAGTGAGGTGGTATCTCCAAGTAGTTTTAATTTACATTTTACTAATGGATAGAAATAGTAACACTTTAATAAATAGATATTGGCCATTTGTGTCTCTTTTGTTGAAAACTTTCTATTTAGTTCATCTGCCCATTTGTTGATTGGCAGTTTTGTTTCCTTGGTTTTTAAATTATGCAGTTCTTTATAAATTCTGGATCTTTGTCCAGAGTCTGAAGTGTAGCTGGTAAAGATTTTCTTCCACTCTTTGTCCTGTTTGCCTGCCGACTGTTGCCTTTGCTGAAGAAAATCTTTATGTTCATCCAGTCCCAACTGTTGACACTTGGGGTTGGTTCTTGTGTGGTGAGCAGTCTACTCAACAAGTTCTTGTCTCTCCAGGATCTCCAATATGTTTTCTTCTGGAAATTTCAGTCTCAGGTTTTAAATTAAGGTTTTTGATCTATTTTGAATTGATCTTTCTACAAGATAAAAGATAAGAACCTAATTTAATTCTACAGGTAGAAATCAAGTTTTGCCAGCATCATTCATTGAATAGACTATCTTTTTCCAGTGTACAATTTTGCTTCCTTTGTTAAAAATTAAGCAAGCATAGCTTTTACTTTTTATTCCCGGGCCTTCTATCCTTTTCTATTGATCTCCCTGTCTATTTTTAATGCCAGTCTTTATCACTATAGCTTTGTACTATAATTTGGGGTCAGATATTATAATATATTCAGCAGCATTTTTATTCATTTGTTGTTTTCCTTATTTTTCCAAAAATTGTAAAAGGTTTTCTATACGGAGTCACCAAACCTGTCCCTCTCACAATTGGTGAATGAAGATAATCAAATGCATTTGTCTCCTCAACTGTGTAAAATAGTTCACACCTTGGTAATTTAGATTAAATGGATAGATAGATAGATAGATAGATAGATAGATAGATAGATAGATAGATAGATATAGATAGATAGATGATAGATAGATAGATATGAATGATAGATGATAGATAGATAGATATGAATATGATGGATTGATGGATAGATTGATGATACATACACACACACACAAAAAAAAAACACCACATATTCTATTTACCAACAGAAGGTTCAAGAATCCAGTAATTGTTCAGTCCTCAAGGCTAGATGTCTTAGCTGGTCTTCACTATGTGCTGGAACTCTGAAGAAGTAGGCTCCAAGGCAGTGAAGGAATGGACTTGCCAGGGAGAGCAACAGGCAAACAGAGCAAGCCTCTGTTTTCCATATCTTTATAGAGGCTGCCAGCAGAAGGTGTGGCCAAGATCAAAGGTGAATCTTCCCACATCAAAAGATCTGGATTAAATTATGGTCTTCCCACTCCCAATTCCTTAATTAAGGAAAACCCCTCACAGGTGAACTCAGTCACTTGGGTTTAAGTAAATTCCAGGTGTATTCAAGTTGACAACCAAGAAGAACGATCACAAGTCCACCCCGTGTCAAGTTGACACACAATCTATCTCCTTATGTCATGCTTAATTTCTAAATGATAACAATAACCAGACAATAACTATAACTAACATGGTATAACTATCCAATGTACAATAAGATAAGCATTATATGTTTTACCAGGTCATAATTATGTCTAATATAACTATCCCTCATACAACTACAAATGCATTACAAGTTTTAGAATGGGGGAAATGTCTCCTGAGATACATCTTTTAGTATCTCAAATTTAAACATGAGAATCACTGATATTCTCTTAATTGATGTTACATTACATGATAAAGAAATTGAAGGAAAACACAAATATCTGTACAAATACTTTCTTAGCAAAATATGATAGAAACACTCATGTCAATTATAATCCTAGGTCTGCAACTGATCACGTGGTCTTAGGTTATATTTGTAATTACCTTCCTCTACTATCCACTCTGCATTTCCTCCACCCTCAGCAAGCACCTTAGTCAGTCTTGGCTCTTTTCCTGGAGAAGTGACCCATACCTTCATCCCTAAAGTGTCTGTGTCCTTTATCATTCTGCCTGGATTAGGTTATCTGACTCAGCTCAACTGCTCCAACCTTGGAGTCCATGATGAACCTTTGCTTCTGGGACCTCTTGTGGGGAGCCAGTGCCCCAGAATATGTTCTTCCTTTACACAGGCTTCTCCACCTCCTCCCCCCTCACTCCTCCTCACTCTGCCCTGAGGAAGCAGGCTGTTCTCTTTCCATTTTATTTCCCCACTAGGTTGCCTCTTCTCACTTCCTCCTTTCTTCCCCTGATCAACAGGGCATGAAGATCTAGTCCAGTAAACCTGTACCAGAAGAGAGAGGACCCACTTCTTCCTCCTGGGAGCACCTGGGTCTCTGGGAGTTCTCTTTCTTGGAGTGCCCTGCTTAGTTGAGTGATGGTAGTTGGAAGAAAGGGAGAAACTTCCATAAAGGTTCCCCTCTCAGGCGATAATTCCACCCAGTCCCCTCCCACATTGGTTGAGTGGACACTATGGGGAGGAGGAGGGGGAGGGGGATGTGGTATGAGAGGAGACAGAAGGCAGGCCTGCTTCATCATCACTTCTGAGGACACACCTGACACCAAGGGTCTCCTTATTATTATGGTATTTTTTCTATGCACCCAGGATACACAGTGTCTTTCATGTCAAATTATTTTTCATAGGGGAAGAGATAAAATCAGTTAAGGTTGTCGTTGTATCTCGGTAACAGCATAATTACTTAATACACATAAAATCATTACATCAGTTCCTACTACGACAAACAAACAAACCAAAGCCATCACACAACAAACCAGACCATCTGTCCAAGTGACCAACTGAGAAGTCCAACACAGCAGAGGAAGGGATGGTGAGGAACCCAGGGGAGGGCTTTCCCTGTCAGTCAGAGAAACAGGCTGCTGTGCTTGGGTTCATTTTTCTGTAGCTTGGTGACTATTATATGATTCTGAGCAACAGGAAATGCCCAGGCAACATTTGGAGCCCAGTTGAGTGGAGACCAAGGGTTGGGTTTTAAAGTATGTGTTCTATCTTCCTTGTGTCTGGTTGCACTCACAAGGTTCACTGGACCTGCCTTTCTGGGACTCAGCATCCATTCTACATTTCCAGAAGTTGTCCTAGGGCTGTAGTAGAGTAGACTCTGAGTGGCAGTAATGTCTGTTGAACATGTTGATCCCTTCAGGAAGGGGGAGTCTAAGGCTCAGTGCATTAGAGACCAGCCCTGTGGCTACAAGCTGGGGGTGATCTCAATTCTTCCCTAGTCTGGCTTTTGGGGTTCCAGAAAATCAGCACCCAGGCAACATGGTAAACTTTCTGTGGCTGTGGTCTTGGGAGATGGACAGAGATCTGAGCCACAATGGCCACTTCCCTCACTGTGGCTCAAATTTCTGTCCAGGTTTTGCTAAACGTGGGCAACAAAGGGGAAATCTTCAGCATTGTGTAAATTAATATTCACCCAATAAATAATAAACAGCTACTTGTGGCAGGCACTGTTATAGGTGTGATTATTCAGTTCCTCTTCTTGTAGGACAATTCACTTTAATAACTCCTACCATTATATGTCATGATATGGAAAATATAAAACTCAGACCACATAAGATGCCCATGTGTTTCCAACTATGTTTCATGAACATTTATACTTGTCCCTATTTGTCTTACATGAAACATATACAAAGTTGTTTATTTAAAAGTAGGATGAGTCTCAAAATAACAAAAAAAAAGTAGAATGAATTCCTTCACTTGTGAACTCACAACACCTGTACATGAATTATACAATATCAAGCCACTGGACATTCTAGCATGAAATGGAGGTCCTCATGGATCCCTGCCAGCTAGCTGTGAAATCCTGAGAGATTGTAGTCTCTGAAGAAATAACAGTGAGGTTTCTTTATGAGTGTGGCCCTCGTAGGTCAAGCATGCTCCACTGTCACAAACCCATGAGTATATAGGCAGCACAAATTCAACTGGCTGGATTATAAGAAAAGAAAAGAGGGGCTGAAGGGATGGCTTAATGGAGGCAGAAGGATCAGGAACTCAAGGTCATCCCTAACTACATAGTGAGTTCAGGGTCATCTTGGAATTCTTGTTACCTCACCAATCAACTAATCCATCTAAAACAAAAATTTAACCCTGGGACAGGGAAATAAGACAGTACCAAGATTTCACCTCTGTTCACTTTATTGTTTCTGTCTAGTTATCCCCAACATTGAAGATCAACACGGAGCCCCCGGATATCCGTGATCACGGGCAACAAAGAGTGAACCTGACTTGCCATGTAAATAGCTTCTACCCCCAAAATGTACAACTCATCTGGATCAAGAATGGGAACAAGATCCTGACCCCCGAGCTCCCTCAAGCCACTCTCTAAAACACACATTGCAGGAAGATGCCATAATGGATGAGAGCATCTTTAGCTGCTGGGTGTTCCAGTATGACCAGCATCCACTGTGTGTCAACATCACCCTGGGAGCTCAAGTCTCCCATAAGGACAGAGATGTGTGCCTTATCTCTTTCATATCCTCAGGGCAATGTTGCTGTGGGATGATCCTTCTGTATGCTGTGACTCTGTATTACACTCATTGGTTAATAATAAATCTGTTTGGCCAATAGCTAGGCAGGACAATCCAACTGGGGACTGGGATGAAGGAGGGCAGAGTTGAGAGCCAGCTGCCCAAGAAACAAGATGCCATAGGACCAGTAAAGCCACAGACTACATTTCAGTACATAGATTAATAGAAATGGGTTAAATTAAAAGTAAGAGCTAGTTAATAATAAACCTGAGCTACTGGTCAAGCATTTTGTAATTAATATAAGCTTCTCTGTGTTTATTTGGGACCAGGTGGTCGAGACAAAAAAGCTCTGCCTCCATTTACACATTGTGGCTGAAGGGCTAGAGACTCATGGAAACCTTTGGGGGAAATGGAGAAAGGAAACCCTCCCTAATGAGAATGTTGTTGTATAGCCACCCACAACTGCACCCACCCCTTTTCTTCCAGATACTTCCATCAAGAAATAAGTCTCCTTTTATGCACTCATCATTGTAATATGATCCTAATTAGTCTTAATAATAAAAACCTAGAGTCAGATATCAGGGCAAAAACTGAAAGATTAGAGAAGCAAAGGAGCAGCCACAATCATGTCTTGCCTTTCCAGCTCCTCAAACCAAAAAGAAGCAAGCTCCTGTCTCCCCACTGCCTTATCACTTTTTCTCTCTGCCCAGCCATATTACTTCCTGTCTGCTGCCTGTACAGACCTCTAGATCTCTATGGTTAACTAGTGGCTAGCTTTACCCTCTGATCTTCAGGCAAGCTTTATTTGTCAGAACACAAACAAAATATAACATTTCCCCCTTTTGTTTAAAATAAAATGAGAAGCTTATAACTAACATAGAAAAACTATATACAATAAATAAAATAACTATATACAAATATTGACAGGCAATAATTAAATCAACAATGTCTAGTCCATTAACATTTGACAAATTTAGAGAAAATACTCATTATCTATCTTAACTTGGTGAATCCAAAGGTTTGTACCTAATTCACCTTCTATCTTAATTTGCCTTACCAACTCAAAACTATCTCTTGATGTCTCTCAACTCTATACACTTTACACCTCTTTAGCGAGTTTCTTTTCTGAATTTGTCAACAAGGAAAACTATAACTATCTAGTCTTCATTCCATCAGAGTCTCGAGAAAGAAATAACATTACTTGAATAAGCAGGAAGTGCAAGCAAGCAACTTCCAAAGAATAT